GAGAGTTTTTTGTTTTAAATCACATTGTTTTAAATTTTTTAAACCCAAAATATGCGCACAAATACAAACACAGTTATTTTTAATTTTCGTCTTTTTTGCCAATAATTTAGATAACACTCTGTGTCAGACCTTTATTATTCTTCTTTTGCCGCAACGATTCCATTCATCAGCAATTATGGTCGAGTGTCTCCGTTTTCTATAGATTTTCTGTTTTTTCTGCACGTACAAAACCAAAAGACTCAAATGGAACATTTGCATTTCGTTGTTGAACTGCATTAAGGGGAGGACTTATTTGCGATGCCCTTAAATCGGGGGAAAGCGATTTTTTAAATGTTTTATTAAATTTTATTCTCTATAGAATTTCTTAAAAATAATTATATTATTTTTTTATTTATTTCACGCGTATTATAGCTACGGAATAGCTAAAGATACTGATTTTATCTTTAGCCTGAAGATCCATATCTCACTGATCCCTCCCTTGTCTCCTTCTAGCAGCAACAGCCGCGGAAGCAGTAGTAGACGTTAAAGATACGTCTTTTAAAGGTTCTTATCTTTTGCTTGGCGGAGATAACAGCGATAGATATGTCCAGTATCTAAAATATTTTTTTTTTTTGTTGATTTGATGGAGTAAAATAAAGAATACAGAAGGCATAACGAGGGTTAGATTGGAATTAAATGGCAAATAACTAAATGCATGACAATTTTCAAAAAAAAAAAAAAAAAAAAAAAAAAAAAAAAAACTTTAATGGCCCGAAAAATTTAAAAATCAATAGAAAAAAGAAAACAAATTAAAAAATATCCGACAGCTGTATACCCTCAGTAAATGTTCGATAATTTGAATACATTTTGACTTTTGCTATTATTATTAAAATTGTTGACCCTCTATGGAGTAGGTTCCGAATAAATCGACCAATATTTCCCATTTCGTATCGGACCTCAATAAATATGATATAAATATTGCGAAGTGCCTGGATTGAACTACATCGACTACTTCCTTTACGTTATATGAGATATGTGATAATTTGTAGAAAAATCGCTGACTTGTTTCGCCCACTTTGTGGGTGAGGTACCAGAACGGGGTTCGCAGATATATATCACCTTCACAACAGAACTTGTGTTACCAAAAATGTTTCTATGTGGGAAATTCGAAGAAAATTGGATGCTTATTTCGTTTTGTATTTCAAAAACCTTATGTGGGGGAGGTACCAGAAAAAATATTCCGAACTTTATCATTTTCATAACAGATCTTATGTTGAGATGCACCAAGTCTAAATGGAATTCCATGTTAATTTCGCGCTTTATGAGCTTTGCGGATATTCAAAATTTTAACTCTTTATGGGAGAGGTGCCAGAAGGAGTGGGCCGATATATCCCACCTTCACAGCAGATTTTGTGTTAGTAGAAATAATGGGATGTGTCAAAACATGAGGAGAGAGCTAGATTCTATAATCGTTTTGGCTATTCAAAGTTTTGACCCTTTGTGGGAGGAGTACCTGAAGGAATGGTCCGATCTCTAGCACCTTTATAACAGATCTTGTGTTTATAGAAATATCGAGATGTGCCAAGTCTGAATGGAATCGTGGATATTCAAAATATTAACCCTTTGTGGGGTAGTTACCGAAAGGAGTGGATCGATTATATTTTCGCACCAGACCTTGAGTTAATTAAAATATTTTGATACACACATCACAGTTGAGAGTTATAATTATCCGATTTTTGACCCTTTGTGGGGGAGATGCTTGATGGAGTGGACCGACATTGCTCATTTTCGCACCTGGCCTAACACTGATGCAAATATTAGGATTTGCAAAAGTTGGAACAAAATCGGATTATTATTTCTCTCTGTCTGTGCAGTAAATATTTTTTTTGAAAGTTTCGACCTTTTGTGGGAGAGTTACCAGAAGGAGTGAACTAATTTTGCCAATCACTAAACTCGATCTAAGCTTGATAATAATATTACGATGTACCAAGTTTGGACCAAATCGGAGGCCCGTTTTGGCCTTATCAAATTATATACGCCCTCTATAGCCATATGGCTGAGAGCATAAGAATATGTGGATGTGCACTATTTGAAGAAAATCAAGCATCTATAACCGATTTTTTGGGAATAATTCTTAATCATAATTTTTATTTTTTGTGGGTTAGGTGCAAGAAGGAGTGAGCCAATAAATTCCATATTCACATCAGATCCTTGATTGAAAAAAAAAATATGTAGATATACCAAGTTTGAAAAAAATCGCCGGATTGTTTCGCACATTATGTGAGATATAAGTATTGCAAACCATGAAGATTTGTGGAACTGGTAACACAAGGGGTAGGTCGATATCTATCATTTTCACATCGGAACTTAGTAAAAATATTGGGATATATGAAATGTTAAGATAATCTGAAGGTTTTTTCGGGAGGTACCAGGTCTTGCATTAATAGAAGTAATGAGATGCACCTAGTTTGAAAGGAATGTTTTACGAAGTTCATGGTTACTCAAAATTTTTATCGATTGTGGGGGAGATACCAGAAGACGTGGACCGATTTTGTCCATCTCTGAATTCGATCTAAGTTTGAGAATAATATTACGATGTACCAAGTTTAGACCCAATTCGATACTCCCTTCGAGAGTTATCGCCAGACAGACAGACGGACGGATATCTCTAGATCGATTCCAAATGTCCTGAAACGGATTTGGTCGAAAGAGACCTAGGTTCTAAAACAATTATTTCGATAAGGCACGTTTTGTCCGTTACCCTCTGTATAAATGATATTGGTATCTGAAATTGAGATATGAAAGTGGTTTTGAAAATGTGTACTATAATTGACGAAAAGAACTAATTTGTACTAAATTGGGTATTGAAAGAAAGGTATAGTGCTGGAATCCTTAAATTTGATATTAAGGTCCTGGTGGCATCTGAGCTTGTGGTATGTAGATTGTTTTGAAAATCCGTACTATAATTTTCAAAAAGTACTAAATTTCTTATTGGGAGAAGAAATAGAGCTGAAAATTGATATTGAGGTCTCTGTTGAAATATAAAGCTGGTTTTGGAAATGTGTACTATAATTGTATGAGATGCACTAAATAGTACTAGATTGGGTGAAGGAAAAGAGTTGAAATCCTGAAATTTGATATAGATGTCACTGTTGATGTCTGTGGTTCAGATATGGAGATGGTTTTAGAAATGTGTAATATAATTGTTCGAAAGGCACCAAGTGGTACTAAATTGGTTATTGGGTAAATAGATAAAGCTGGAATAAGATGTGGAGGTGGTTTTTGAAATGTGTACTGTATGAAAAGTACTAAATAGTACTAAATTTGGTATTGGGTGAAGGAATAGAGATGAAATCCAGAAATTTGTTATGGATGTCACTTTAGGTGTCTTTGGTTGGGAGAAGAAGTTGGTTTTGAATAGGCGTACTAAATGTGGTAATGGGGGAAATTAAAGAGCTAAAATCCTGAAATTTGATATGGTATCTGAGGTTGAGATATGGAGGTGGTTTTGGAGATTTCTTCTACAATTATTCGAAAAGTACTAAATCGAACTAATTTTGCATCACTGTTTGTGTCTAGGATGAATATTGTAAATTGTTTTGGATATGCGTACTAAATTTAGTGTTGGGAGAAAAGAGGAGGAATAAAATTCTGAAATATAATATGCAGACGTTGAAATAATTTTGAACAAAAAATTGAAGCGGATCCATTGTGCAATGGTTTTACTAATACCCTCCCTCCTAGGTAAACTTCAAAATTAAAAATTTTGAATACTTTTGGGGGAAACGCAAGTTTGGTGAACATTTAATTCATGTTCGGGCGTCAATATCGTACGATTTAACGCCTTTTGACAATTTTTGTGGGGCTGGGTTAAAGCTAGTGTCTATACAAGCAAGTCCGCTTCAATTGACGTGTTGGATGACAATATTAAAGCATTTATTCGTGAGATACCAACTGAAATGTTGGATAGAGTATCCTAAAATTTGACGGAGCGCATGGACCATTTGAGGTGCAGTCGGGATCAACATTTGCATGAAATAATCTTCAAACTTTAAATTATATGGACAGTGTTTGAGAATAGAATCCAATCTCCCTCTTCGATTGTCAATTCTCTTCTGGATTCTGCTGGGAGATTAGAATTCAATCTCTCTCTTCGATTGTCAACTCTATTCTCTATTCGGTGATGAGAAAGGAATAAAACCGCTCCGCTTGGGTGTAGATTCAATTCTGATTTTATTTCAAAAATATGTTTCTTAAGTACTACTGGAACTAATCAAACTTAATCTAATCGCAGCCACACAATTATTCTTATCTATTCTAATATTGAATGGAGAACATTGCAGGGATGCTTGTCATTTCATTCAAATGGTCTTGTGCATCTACTGAGCGTATATCTGTGCGTATGGTTCATAACCACATGACACATTATCATATGCGTCTGCGCACAAGATCTCCGAATTGTTCACTGTGGTGTTTTATGCCGGCTGGGAAATATGTAAATTTAGAATATTTATTGTTTATTGCTAAATTTTCAAAGCGCCTCAATCGCACTCAGTACTATTAGGATTTTAGGCACTTTGCTGAATTGTACATTTTTTTAAACTTTCCTCTTAACTCTTAAAATCGCCCTTTATTTCAAAACGGATTAAATGCATTTAAGGCTAAAAATAACTACACCGTGTAAACACCCTAATAACTACTGAATAATTGAAACCCCCATAAAAATCCCCCAATTACATGAACTGTTTGAAATTTTAAAATCGTTGATAACGACCATTAAGGTATTCATAATTGAAGTCCAAGTCGTTTCCCTCTTCCCAAAATGTTGCAAACACACAAAATTGTGTTTATTTGCCAACAAATTATTCACCAAAACACAAATTGCTTCATTTTTTCCGCTTATTTTTTTGCAAACAACATTCAAATTTTAGTCCCCGGCCATAATTGCCAAAGAGAGCAAATAAAGAAATGCCACTTGATAGCATTTCGATGTTGCAATCCGTCATTTTTATGGCCCAACTATAAAAGCCATTTACAACCCCAAAAAAATGGGTTAACTGGGAAATTGAGTGGCCGGGACGGATAACAAAACAATATTTGCATGGGCGGCAAAACGGTTGTGGAAATGTTGTCCGCACCGGCAATGGTCATCAATTGGTCGCCAATTATAAATGTGATAAGTACGGTGGATAGATGGGAACTAAGGAAAATATTTTGTCATTTAAAAAAATTGTGTCTCATTACAGTGCAAATTTATTTGCAAAATTCAACAATTTGTGTTTTATGGCCCCAAGATGGAGAGTTGCAGTTGGATACAAAATTTGAGAAATTTCCCTACAGCATTATTAATATTGATGCAACAAATTCGGATGAGAAACTCATGGAGAATGAGGTTCAAAATATCAAGGAAAAGTTTATGGAAGACAATCCCCTAACATTAATGTTAACTCTGGCCATAGAAAAGTCCCACTGTGAGGTATTTTTCTAATAAGAATTCTGAATTCAAATTCGAAAGTAAATTTTAAAAATTGCAGAGTTTTGTGGCCTTTGAAAATGACATCCTGAAATTCATTGAAAGTTTTGCAAATGCCAGTCGTTATTCGGTGTGGCGTTCAAAGAGAAATTATTTTGTGTTTGGCAGCTCAGATCGTTCGCTGGAGTATTCCTTGGAGAGGCAAAGGTTTTTCGAAGGTAATAATTGAAAAATTTCTCTTCTCTCTCAATCGCCTCAATTCAGAGATTGTCTTGCAGATCAACCCAACATACTGATGGTATCTGGCGACAAAGCAACCCCCGGAATTTTCGAATTGAAAACAAATAAATTTGTTGGCCGACGAGCAGATGGACCAGGGAACCTCTGCCTTTTGGATAGATTTTACGTCAATACCATGAATTTTGAAAAAGGGGCAAATTTATTTCCCTACAAACTTGGTAACTTACAAGGACGTGAAATAATTGTGCCCGGCATGGATTACAGACCATATTTGGTTATAAATTATGTGCAGGATAAAAATAATTCCTACGATCTGGCCTTTGATGGCTCCGCGGAGGGGAATGTGCAAATCGATGGCACCGAGGCCAGAGTTATTTTGACATTTTGTGAAATTTTCAATTGCACGGTCTTAATTGATAGCAGTGAGTAATCTTGAAGAAGGGTTGTAATGAAATGTCATTTGTCCAATTTGTTTAGCTGAAGCCGATGATTGGGGTGAGGTGTATTCAAATTTATCCGGTATTGGAAGTATAGGAATGGTAGCAAAAGGTATGGCAGAGATTACCATAGGGGCAATGTATTCATGGTAAGTGATTTTTTTTACATTTTTATGTGAAAACCAGTTTTTCAAAAGATTTCCGATATGAAAAATTTTTTTCTGAAATTTGAAAATTTGTTCTCCAAAATTCTATTATTATTCCTCTACGAAAAATTTCATGCGAAACCTGTTCTACAACGAAAACATTTCATTCGAAATATTTTCCATACGAAAATATTTTATTCAAAATATTTCCTAAACGAAAACATTTCATTCGAAATATTTCCTAAACGAAAACATTTCATTCGAAATATTTCCTAAACGAAAACATTTCATTCGAAATATTTCCTAAACGAAAACATTTCATTCGAAATATTTCCTAAACGAAAACATTTCATTCGAAATATTTCCTAAACGAAAACATTTCATTCGAAATATTTCCTAAACGAAAACATTTCATTCGAAATATTTCCTAAACGAAAACATTTCATTCGAAATATTTCCTAAACGAAAACATTTCATTCGAAATATTTCCTAAACGAAAACATTTCATTCGAAATATTTCCTAAACGAAAACATTTCATTCGAAATATTTCCTAAACGAAAACATTTCATTCGAAATATTTCCTAAACGAAAATATTTCATTCAAAATATTATCTATACGAAATAATTTGAATTAAAACATTATCGATACGAAAACATTTCATTCGAAATATTTTCTATACGAAAATATTACATTCGAGACATTTCGATACGAACATATTTCATTGCAAACCTTTTTCATACGAAAATATTTCTTTCGAAACATTTTCGATACAAAAATATTTTATTAGAGACATTTGATACGAAAACATTTCATTCGAAACATTTTCGATACGAAAACATTTCATTCGAAACATTTTCGATGCGAAAACATTTCATTCGAAACATTTTCTATACGAAAATATTTCATTCGAATTATTTTCTATACGAAAATATTTCATTCGAATTATTTTCTATACGAAAATATTTCATTCAAATTATTTTCTATACGAAAATATTTCATTCGAATTATTTTCTATACGAAAATATTTCATTCGAATTATTTTCTATACGAAAATATTTCATTCGAATTATTTTCTACACGGAAATATTTCATTCGAATTATTTTCTATACGAAAATATCTCAATCGAATTATTTTCTATACGAAAATATCTCATTCGAATTATTTTCTATACGAAAATATCTCATTCGAATTATTTTCTATACGAAAATATCTCATTCGAATTATTTTCTATACGAAAATATCTCATTCGAATTATTTTCTATACGAAAATATCTCATTCGAATTATTTTCTATCCGAAAATATCTCATTTCAATTATTTTCTATACGAAAATATCTCATTCGAATTATTTTCTATACGAAAATATTTCATTCGAATTATTTTCTATACGAAAATATTTCATTCGAATTATTTTCTATACGAAAATATTTCATTCGAAATATTTTCTATCCTAAAAAATTTCATTCAAAATACTGTCGATACGAAAATATTTCATTCGAAATACTGTCGATACGAAAATATTTCATTCGAAATACTGTCGATTCGAAAATATTTCATTCGAAATACTGTCGATACGAAAATATTTCATTCGAAATACTGTCAATACGAAAATACTTCATCCAAAAACAACTCTCTACGAAAATGTTTTATCTGAAATATTTTTGATACGAAAAAAATAAATATTTATTTCTCCAGGGATACTGACTATATATATCTGGACATGTCCATGTATCTGGTTCGATCGGGCATAACCTGTTTGGTACCGGCACCAAGGTAATGTCTTTTTAAAGGAGCATTTGCTTTTATTCAAAACCCCTTTTTTCTTCCAGGCGCTTGGCCAGTTGGATCCTGCCGCTGGAACCGTTTCAATTCACCCTGTGGTTGGCTGTCGTCGTTTATCTGTTTGTCGAGGTTGCCAGTCTGGCGCTGGCCTATCGTTTTGAGTCTCATTTTATTTCCATGATGGCCGATTCCTGGCCCGAGAGTCTGAAATTTGGAGTGGTTACCACCCTGAAGCTTTTTGTCTCACAGTCGGGTTCAAAAAAGGTAATTTCACAGACGGTGAGAGTACTGCTTTTTACCTGTTTCCTCAATGATCTGATAATTACAAGTATCTATGGCGGTGGGTTGGCCAGTATTTTAACGGTTCCAAGGTAAGAGAGGTAGGATATTTTATTTCCTCTCTTAAAAGTTGGGAGTCCTTTGCAGTTATGATGAAGCTGCCGACACCTTGGATCGCTTGTGGTCCCAGAAATTGCAATGGGCGGCCAATTCGGAGGCCTGGGTTTCGGCCATACGCAATGCAGAGGATGTAAGGAGAAGGAGTAGATAAATTGGAATGTAATTTTTATAATTGTCTAAAAATTCCTCTACAGGATCGCATCAATGGCATATTGGAGAACTTTTTTATATATCCCGATGAGAAACTGGAGCAGCTGGCAAGTTCAAGATCTGGCTTTGGGTTTACAGTGGAACGTTTGCCATTCGGTAAGATTGAGCTCTAAAAATGAACATTTTTAATGACTTATGAAAACTGCAGGTCACTTTGCTATCGGCGACTATTTGACCACGGAAAGTATCAACCATCTAAAAATAATGCAGGAGGATCTGTATTTCCAGTACACGGTGGCCTTCACAAGCCGCTGTTGGCCCATGTTGTCGGCATTTGATAACCTACTCTATTGGTGGCACTCTGCTGGGCTGGATAGCTATTGGGAATGGCGTGCTGTGGCCGATAACATGAATGTCCAGAAACAAAAGCAAGTTGAGGCCACTGTATATTCGAACATTGAGGATATGGGTCCAGTGAAATTGGGCATGGCAAACTTTGTTGGCATTCTTTTGCTATGGATGTTGGGGGTAACGATTTCGTTTTTGGTATTCTTGTATGAGGTGTTGAGGGATTATGTGGAACGGAAGAACAAGGAGTAATTGAAAATAGCATATATATATGTAATGCACATAGAATTTTGTAGTTTTTTAGAAAATTGCACAAATAAATGTGTGTAGCAATGGAATATGGATCCCTGTATTGGGAGTCGATTTGCCTCTAGAATATGTGCTGGATTAAATAATGATGAATATCCTTACTTTTCGAAGTCTATCTATATACTACAGGGTTGCCCATATTCGACGGACCATCTGGCAACGCCATAACTTTTGACAGAGATGTCACATCGCTTAATGACATACCGCGTTTGAAGCGTCAGTCCAAGCAGATTTTTACCATGAAACAATACACGTCACGCGAAATAGTTGAAATTTACATTCAACAGAAAAGTCAATTGTGAAAACTCAACGTGCTTTTAAAACATTAAAAAATGTGAGAAGTGCGCCTTCTAAGAACACCATTAAGCGTTTATACGAAAATTTTTCGACTGGTAAGGCTCTTTCTTATCCGAAGAGGCCATATAAAAGTCGACCAAGGCGATCGGCCGACAATATCGCTGCCGTACGAGCCAGTGTTGAGAGGTCCCCAAGAACATCCCAAAAACGCTGTTCTCAGCAGTTGGGCATGGCTCGGTCCACTTTACAACGGATTATTCGCATTGATTTGCATTTGTTCCCGTACAAAATTCAATTGACGCAAAGAATGTTGCCTGCGAATAAGCCTCGTCGATTGGAATGGGCCTAAAGGGCCCAAAGGTTCGTCGAATAAGAGTCAGTGATGCGAGTGCAGGATAGATGTAATCAAGGCTTTTTGGAAATACGATCTTTAAGGTTGCGAAAAGTTCTGAAATGGTACTAGACTTGAAAATGTTACCATTTGGCATTGTGTGAGCGGATAGAGCTAAAAATTTGGTATACGAATTAGGGTTGATTGATGAAGATTGTTTTGGAAATGTGTACTAAGTGTACGAAATGTACTAAATGGTATTAAATTTAGAACAGTTGGATTTTTGAAGAAAGGTTATAGCTAGAAAAATTTTGAAATTTTTTTTGGTTTCCCGGTTGGTGGTAGAGTTGTGATAACGAGGTTGTTTTTGAAATATGTACTACAAGTGCACTAAAAGTACTAAATGGTACAATATTTGGTACAATTTGGTATTGGGTGAGCAGATAGTGCTTAAAATCTGAAATTTGGTATTAGGATCACTGTTCAACTTTACGCCAGACATATGGAGGTGATTTCGGAAATGTGTACTATAATTGTACAAAAAGTACTGAATGGTACTATATTTGGTATTGGGTGAAGGTTTAGAGAAAAAAATTCTTAAATTTTATATTTAGATTACTGAGGGGTGTCTGTATATAAAAATATATAGCCAAAAATCCGCCTCTATTCATATTTCACACATCTCATTATTGTTACAAACACAAGATTTGCTGTGAAGATGGAATATATCTGGTATATCCCCCGAAAGGGTCAACATTTTCAATATTCGTGAAGCTATTAAAACGCGAAATTAACATCCGATTCCATTCAGACTTGGTACATCGACATTTTCCTATCAACACAAGATCTATTATAATGATGATAGAGATCGGTCCATTCCTTCTGGTATCTCCCCCACAAAGGGTCAAAGTTTTGAATAACCAAAAATTCGAAATAATCATCCAGGTTTCTTCATATTTCACACATCCCATTATTTCTGCTAACAAAAGATCTGCTGTAAAGATGGGATATATCGGTCCATTCCTTCTGGTAGCTGTCCCACATTGGATCAAAATTTTGTACATTCATGAAGCTCATAAACTTCGAAATTAACATTCGATTCCATTTAGACTTGGTACATCTCAATATTTCCATCAACGCAAGAGCTGTTATACAGATGGTAGAGATCGGACAATTTCTTCTAGTACCTCGCCCACAAAGGGTCAAAATTTTGAATAACCAAAAATTCGAAATAATCATTCGGATTTCTTCATATTTCACACATCCCATTATTTCTACTAACACAAGACCTGCTGTGAAGATGGAATTTATCGGTCCACTTCTTCTGGTACCTTCCCAATAAAAACGCGAAATTGACATGCGATTCAATTCAGAAAATTATATGTATATATCTGGTGAATCCCTTCTGCTACCTCACTCACATAGGGTCTCAGTTTTCAATACTTTTATCTGTCATAGCTTTCTCTTAAACATACACCGTAGATGAATATTAAATTTATGATTTCGCATAAAATTGAATATAAATGTTTGATTTTTTTCTGTATCAGATGATGTATGAAAATGGGATACTCCGGGCGATTCTATCTGGTACCACAGGCACATCATAATATTTTCTAAAAATTATCAGATATCTCTTAAAAAATGATGGAAGTAACAAATATAGTCCAAACCTGGCATATGGCAATATTTATATCATACTTATTTAGACCTGAAAAGAAATAGACAATATTGGCCCATTTCTTCGGAACATACTCCATAGAGGGTCAAACACTTGAATTATCATAACAGAAGTAAAAATATATTTAAATAATTGAACATTGGCTGAGGGTATACATCTGTCGGCAAACCCGACTGATACCTTTTCCTTGTTGATCTGAATAATCGACATGACCCAATCAAACTTATTTCTAGTTTTGTTTGTACAACAGGTACTATTTTAAATTTAATTTTAAGGTATTTCCAAAAATAGCTATTTTAAAACTAGTTTTATTATTAACCAACCGAGAAATGGCCATAATTGAAATGAAATAGTTTTACCATGGTTACAATTATGGAAATAAATATGTATGTATGTACATTAGATGGCCCTAATTTCACACAGGTAGCAGTACACAACATTTAAAAAAAAATTTCCCAGTTTTATGATAAATATTTAAATAAATAATAAAAAAAACAAATTCATCCAGTACATGACATAATAAAAATTGTGATTAATATTATTATGTAAATGAAGAAAGTTCGCCAGCTGTGTGGACAACAAAAAAAAAACCAAACGCGGACAATTAAAATGCCCCCGTGACGGAGGGGCAGCCAAACAATAGTTTTAAGAGTCTTAGAGGAAATTGAAGAAAACTAATAAACCAGACAAAAGAAGCGAATGTACGATGTCCAAGTAATTTATAAATGTCTCTAATCGCCACAAATATTAAGCGCTTTTTCCGGGCCATGATGGTCATTACAAAAAAAAAAAAAAAAAGAAAAAAACAACAGCTAACGAACGCACTCTTCGTATTACGCAAACGAAGGAATTCTTCTGGTCATCAGATGCCGCTCTGGCAGCTGGGAGTAAATATTATGACTGCCGCCTGTGGTCAATAAAGTTGAAAAGAGATAGAGAAGAGGGGAAAATAGAAAGACGTCATCATTAAGTCTTATTATATAATTGCGAAATATGGAGAACGCCCGTTGCACTCATTTACCGGGCAACTGGGCAACAACAGTAACATCCACCGTAACTGAGTTAAAGTATCGCAACGGCACAAATTGGGTGGTTCTGCAGCGTTACTAATGGCATGGAGGGAAAGAAAGGCATAGAGAAAATCAAACTCGATTTATGTACCTACCGTTTGATGCGCAATATTAGAAATATCGGTTAAATGCCTATCGATCATAGCGGTAGCATACCATACACACACACTCACATTTCCACTCCGTACGCTGCAAAGAAAAAGTGTAGAAAATTGCAGTATTCCCAATGCAATGGAAGCAAAGCAACGCCAAGGCCTTGTAACGTTCTGCTCACATAGCTTACGGTTCATCGGAACTGTGAAAGGGCAGGAAATGTGTGTGTGCGTGTGTGTGGATTGTGTAACGCATAAGACGTGATGAAAATTGTAACAGAGGAAAGTAGAGAAATTGTTGAACGCGACATAATGTTCCGTAATACTAATAAGGAAGTAGAGATTACGACATACAAATATATTTTGTAATCGATAATTTTATACATAAACTTTTCTCTATTAACCAATAGGGTGGTGCCTCTCCGAAACGTACTCAACTCAATGGCGCGATTCTGTGAATGGTACGGCCGGAACTATATCGTTTGCTCGACTAGTTTCTATTTGAGATACTTAGGCAAAAACAAAAGAGGGGTTTTATATTTTTTTTTTTCAATTTTTGTGGCGATTTTTAAATCCTTTGATTTTGTCTAAAATTCGATTTTGCCTCTTCGAACCAAAGTCGATTGAAATCGATTTTTTGATATATAGGTTTGCCAACAGATGATAATATCGGCTTTCCAACTTTTTGAAAAATGAAAACTTCGAATATTTTAATCTTGCTTATTACTTGGAAGGTATTAAAGTGAAAACCCCATTAACTCAAAATTAAAAGTCGATTTTGCAATTTTTGCCATAGGTCGAGTTAGGTATCCATAGATATTCTACACCTTTTTATACCTAAGTCATATGATACGGCCAAAACGTGCCTCATCAAAATAACGGTTTCTTTGGACCAAATCCGTTTCAGGACATTTGGAGTCGTTCTAGCGATGTCCGTCCGTCTATGTGTCTAGCTGAAGCGTACTATAACTCTCGAAGGGAGGATCCAATTTGGTTCAATCTTTGTACATCGTAATATTATTAACAAACTTTGATCGACTTCGGAGATGGACAATATCGGTCCACTTCCTCTGGTACATACCCCACAAAAGGTCGACATTTTCAAAAAAAAATTATTTTACTACACAGAAAGAATTCTCTTTCGATTTGAGTCTGGTGTGAGGATGGAATATAACGGTACAATCCTTCTGCTACCTCCCCCCAAAAAGGGTCAACATTTCAAATATCTATAAAGCACATAAGATGCGATATTAACATCCGATTCCATTAAGACTCAATATTTCTATCACCACAACATCTGTTATAAAGATGGTAGAGATCGGACCATTTCTTCTGGTACCTCCCCCACAAAGGGTAAAAGTTTCGAATAACCGAAACGATTATTAAATCCGAAATAAACATCTGGTTCTCTCAATATTTGACACATCCCATTATTTCTACTAATACAAGATCTGCTGTGAAGATGGGATATATCGGTTCACTTCTTCTAGTAGGTCCCCCACAAAAGGT